AGTGTATCTATAACACAAGACCCTTATTATGGACAAATACTAAGAGAAAATATCATCCCTAAATCTTAAAAAGTTAAGTTTCAATATTCTAAAGTATTCTTCCTTTATCACAGCCTTCACAATTATTTTCAGGGACTGTTTTGGTGTAACAAAATGAGAAGCATATCCAGTTATGCTTATATCAGCAATTTCAAATCTATTCTTGTTTTCTCTAAACAACTAAATATACCAAAATTTAGTGATCCAAATAATCTAAATGCTACATTTATAATCAATCTTCTAGAAACAATGATCACCAAATACCTAGGAGACATACTTTATCATTTACAGGAATAACACATACAATGCACACAATAAATCTGATCCCAGCAAACTCAAATCCTGCAATCCATTGAAATGATGATACACGCCTGAGACACTATTTATCCAACATTCATAACAACAGCCAGATGATAAAAATGGTAGAATATCTTTCATTTAGACTGAATAAAGTTTTTAATTGCCAGTCATATATATTAAAATCTGAAATCTTGACATGATTACACACAAAAAAATACTTTATAAAAGGAACAGATATAGTTAACCAAAGAAAGGTCTATCACTGCTTATTTCCCTAAGCTACTGAAAAGCACAACAATATTAAAATGATAATCTCCTATTCTCTGTGTCCCCTCTTCGAAAACCAAGCCTTTCACCATGACCAAAGGAAAGCCTAGTCTAGGCACAGCACAGAGTTGGCTAGGAGACCATCATACAAACTGAAAAAGTCAACTACAAGAACAATTATAACTGGATGCAACTAATGGAGTTAAACCCTTCCACTCAGGGAGGCATGTTAGAAGGGACTTTCCAGAGAATATTAAAAAGGGACTGACAGTTACCAGCCATTCTCTCTCTCTATGCAAGCCAGGGAAGGTACAGGGTGTCTTTGATGAACCTGAACCGTTTACCTAGGAAGCTTTGATTGATCTCCAACGTGACAATAGGACGCCCCAACATGTGCTTCCATGTATATTGCAAGAAGTTGAGTTCAGTTTTGAAAATGTCTAAAAGAAGGTCCAAATCGGAGGCAATGAAGAATCGCTGCCGATCTACGAACTGAAAAGATCAGCAGGTTAGAATGTCCAGTTAGAATGCTATAAGGGTTAAGGAACACAAGATGAAAACACTGAAGTTTCAACTGCAATATCCGCTGCAACAAAGAATCAGTGATACTAGAGATTGGAGATAATTATACAGTTTACATCCTGATTCTATTCCCCAAAAATCAGAACCTGCAAAACAGATAATATTAACATTTGATTATTTTTCAGTTTATCACAGGGGAAATATTAATCAGGCAAATATGGACTACTGCATTTATTTGCAAGCCTTTTACAACCTGGGAGTAATTAGTTATACTGTTTAACTGTCTTATCAAAGTACTGTAAAAAAAGACCTTAATCATAATTCTCAAGGCTTCAGAAACAAGAAAAAACAAATATTAAAGATTCTGCATGTTCACTAACCTGAGGAGTAAATGCAAATATTCTATCTTGAAGGGAATACAATTTGCTTGTTGAAAGGATACCGACATCACGGCTTTGACGACCAGACAGACCCAGCTTCTGGTTACGACCTGCAATGTTATCAGCATTTATATACCTATATGCTCAGCGGTTCAGGTAATCCATATTTACTTCACTACATTTACAAAGATTAACCCATCCACCCCAGATTTAAGTTCTGTCCCCTGTAGTTTTTTGTGAATGTTGTTACACATAGATGGCTCCAGGTGAGATAGTTAGAATTCATAACTGGTGGCTAAGCAATTATAGAGCCATCTATGTGTACAATAAACAGACTTATATTACAGTGGGCATGGCATGTATTCTTACCATACGTGTTAAATGGATTAAGGAGAAGAAAATAAAACAGCTAATGCCTCAACCAACCATGATAATAATAAAAATGATTAATCAATTCCTATCTTAATAGCTCAACACTGACGCATTCCCCATACCTAGATGAGCATAAAGTTTTGACAAAACTCTTGCCGGCTGCACTTCAATGGGTGATACTTCGGCAATCGTCTGCACAGGGATGTCCAGCGCTTGCAGTTTGGCCTGGATGCTAGAGTCTTCCGCCAGAACCACCACCTGCACCACTACGTCTGGCTTCTTCTCCGAGCCCAGACGACGGTTGAGGGGATCAAGCTCACCACAGGCCAAGAAGTTCTGCCGGCAGGAATGCTTCCATTATGTACAAGCCTTATGTATATATATATATATATAAATAAATATACATAAATATATCTATCTATATCTATCTATCTATCTATCTATCTATATCTATCTATATATATATATGTATATATATATATATATATATATATATATATATATATATATATATATATATATATATATATGTATGTGTATGTGTATATGTATATGTATATGTATATGTGTATGTGTATATATATATGTATAAGTCTACATATGTATATATGTATATATGTATATATCTATCTATATCTATCTATATCTATCTATATATATATATATATATATATGTATATATAGACACACACATATATAAATACATACTGCAAACAGAAGTAATACTTATATATATATATATATATATATATATATATATATATATATATATATATATATATATATATATATATATATATATATATATATATATATATATATATATATATGTATGTGTATGTGTATGTGTATGTGTATATGTATATGTATATGTATATGTATATGTATATGTATATGTATATGTGTATATATATATGTATAAGTCTACATATGTATATATGTATATATGTAGATGTGTACGTAATGTGTGTATATATATATATATATATATATATATATATATATATATATATATATATATATATATATATATATATATATATATATATAGACACACACACACATATATATACATACTGCAAACAGAAGTAACACTAATCTGGATTTTCTTGCATCTCCAAAGCCAACACTCTTATCCAAGCTATGACTTACATCTTGCAAGAGTCGCCCCATGATGAAAAGGCTCTGGGCCCACATGAAGGGCAGCTTGCCAACAGCCACACGATCCTGAGAACCTGGTTCCTTGTACTCCTGCTCCACATTCTCTGCTGGGACCGTGTAGATCTCGGGTACGAGTCTTAGGCCGTCTTCGGTGGTCACTAACAGCTGAGGAGGAGTAAGACTTTGACATGATTTAAGAAAAAACAGGTGGAAAAAAAAAGGATGAAAAAAGGTATTTGCCAAATAAACTAATAAGTAATTCCTACTTTAAATTCAACATTCAATACAACACTTCACTTCCAGTCCATATTTACTGAATAAAATAATAAGTTAAAAAAATATTTACATGGAGTCTCTGACACACTCACCTCCTCCAGCATTTCAGCATACTCCTTAACAGCCTCTTTGTCATTTTGGAAGCAATAGTCTAGAATGAGATAGCAGTAGAAGAGAGGCCACTCACATTCAATCTTCTCAAACCTTTTCAGCTCCCAAGGTTCATAATACAGTCTGCTGGGATCCTGATAAATATTTACAATCAATGATGCTTCTAAGGGTATCAGAAAACTATATGAAAATTAAATATTGCACTGAAATATTTGCATTAACACTAATATATCTTAATAACTAAGAGGAGTTCCTCTTCATCTATTTGAAAAGGAAAGTGTTTCACATCAATATTTACCTCCTTGGCTGTCTTGTAGCCATCCCTGAGGAACCTCTTGCATCCATAACGTCCCTGTAGCTTGTCCTGAATGGTGTCCCTCGTTAGCTTGATGAGCATTGGGTCATCCACAGCAAAGGAAGGGAAGCTGATGACTGCCAGAAGGCTGCTGTCAACCTCCTTGCTATTACTCTCACGTGGCAGCATAGACTGAGGAAAATGCACTTCTTTTCAAATAAATCAATATGTAATAATGTGGAGTCACTACATTTTTTCTGTTTAGGCCATTCATATGGCAACATGATAAATCTAACTATATTTTTACTTATTTCAGAATGGTATACATGCACTTCCTCTACCTCTCTGGCAATATTCATAGGTTTACATAGAGCTTCTTACAAAGTCCTTGCTAAAGGAAAATAAATTCAAATTGTGGTTTCTAAATTTCCCAATTTTAAATATACCATACTTTATAGACAATATTTCTCCCAAATCCTCCACCATTCTAACCTCCACTATTCATCTCCCTTTTCTCTGAAGAAAGTATGCAACATACGATCTCAAGTAAGCCAAAAACAACACATGACTGACCTGCAACACAGCCTGGCACTTCTGGGCCTCATCAGCAAGCACATGGATGACACTAGCCGGGCCTCCTCTTGCCCCAAACAGGTCCAATTCATTCATTGCCTCTAAAGCTGCCTTGGCGAGACCAATGCTTGAAGCATTTAGTTCTGGCAGCCCATGATTAGTCTTGTCTCCTCTCTCCCAGATTCCATAATCCTATAACAAGTGTTAACTATACATAATGGAGCTGTACCTATGGTAATAACTGTCTTTGCAGATGATGTACAAATCTAAAAAATATTAGCTTAAGTGAAAGTGTGTCTGATTTAACAAGAACAGATATAACAATTCCTTACATTATTTCATACTCACATTCTACCAAAACTATTAATCATCTACATGACAATGAATGACCTTCAATGAGATCAAATCTGTACAAAAGACTTACAGGAATGCAATATGCAGACTCTATGTAGAAGACCAGGTTTTGGATAAAACTAACTTCATCTAAGTTGAACACAATCTGCAAACCTGTAAGAAATTTGTAAGTAACAGTTTACAGTGACTAATATAATCAATATTTTTTTTCTTCTATGATATTCAAAATGAAACACATTTTTTATCTTCTGCTCTATTCTGAACACATCTTGAACAGTGCAAAATTACATGTGAAGTTATTACAGGTGGAGTCACATCTCATTATATTTGAATATCGTGTAGGTAATGATCTCATCAAACCCACAGTGAACATACTCTAGAGCACAATTGTAGTTCAACTAGATTTCACATGAAGATAATTCAAAGTATTAAATAATATAATTTTTCTTAAATAAAAATACAAACTACAACAGAATTGGCACTGCATTATATACAATTAATTTGATATAACATTAAATATTTTCAGTAAGATTCTGGGCTCTATTTGTTATATGCCAAGCTCTATCTTTAAACCATCTATTTCATATCAAAAGCTGAGGCCTAATGTCCTCAGTCTATCATCTTATCCAACTCTCAATTCAAAGAACATTTTGAAACTTTCATTGGGGGCAAAATGATGGTTTCCCTACTTGCAATATATTACAAGAATCTTAGTGAGCAACTGCAAAAGATAAACTGCAAATGGTAAAACATTTATGGAATATCATAGCTGATCAGTTTCCTTAGTCAATATATTTAAAAATCTTAAAAAAAAAATGTACCAACTGAAAATAAACAATACTGTAATAAATAAAAAAAAAAATGTACCAACTGAAAATAAACAATACTGTAATAAATAAAAAAAAAAATGTACCAACTGAAAATAAACAATACTGTAATAAATAAAAAAAAAAATGTACCAACTGAAAATAAACAATACTGTAATAAATAAAAAAAGAGACTAAAAATCAGAAAAGAGGAAATGTGAACAAAGAAAAAAAAAAATTATACAAACTGACAAAGAATGAAAAAAAGAAAATAGATGAAATTATATGAAATATAAATGAAAAAAATATATATATATAAATTAAAAAAAAAATGTACCAACTGAAAATAAACAATACTGTAATAAATAAAAAAAAAAATGTACCAACTGAAAATAAACAATACTGTAATAAATAAAAAAAAAAATGTACCAACTGAAAATAAACAATACTGTAATAAATAAAAAAAAAAATGTACCAACTGAAAATAAACAATACTGTAATAAATAAAAAAAAAAATGTACCAACTGAAAATAAACAATACTGTAATAAATAAAAAAAAAAATGTACCAACTGAAAATAAACAATACTGTAATAAATAAAAAAAAAAATGTACCAACTGAAAATAAACAATACTGTAATAAATAAAAAAAAAGAGACTAAAAATCAGAAAAGAGGAATTGTGAACAAAGAATAAAAAATTATACAAACTGACAAAGAATGAAAAAAAGAAAATAGATGAAATTATATGAAATATAAATGAAAAAAATATATATATATAAATTAAAAAAAAACAAATTATAAGAAATATAAATAAGAAAAATAAAAAAAAAAATGTACTAACTGAAAATAAACAATACTGTAATAAATAAAAAAAAGAGACTAAAAATCAGAAAAGAGGAAATGTGAACAAAGAAAAAAAAAAATTATACAAACTGACAAAGAATGAAAAAAAGAAAATAGATGAAATTATATGAAATATAAATGAAAAAAATATATATATATAAATTAAAAAAAAAATGTACTAACTGAAAATAAACAATACTGTAATAAATAAAAAAAAGAGACTAAAAATCAGAAAAGAGGAAATGTGAACAAAGAAAAAAAAAAATTATACAAACTGACAAAGAATGAAAAAAAGAAAATAGATGAAATTATATGAAATATAAATGAAAAAAATATATATATATAAATTAAAAAAAAACAAATTATAAGAAATATAAATAAGAAAAATAAAAAAAAATATAAGAAATATGATCAATAAAAAATAGAAGAAATTAATAGAAATATGAAAAAATAAAAAGAAAGAAGAAAGAAAGAAATATCGCAAGAGGAAAGTGAGCTCCGTAAAGAACCATGAAAACAACCACCGCAACAGCTTACCTGCTCCAGTTCATAGGTCTTGGCTCGGTCTTCGTCCAAGTCTGCATTCTTCTTATAAGCCATGGAGAGCCCCCACACTGCCATGATGGAGTAAAGGTTGTCTCGCACCCAAGCATGGTCGTTGAGATTACTTGCAGGAAGCAGGCCAGTAACTGCATCCTGGGGAATTATCTCGGTATAAGCATGAAATCATTCTGATAGTTCATGAAAATTAAAATCACTTTATTATGGAGAGGAATTTATCCAATTTTCCCAACTGCATCCAGGTGATGTGATTGTCACATCAAGAAAAAATTTGGCTGAGGTCCGGGTGAAGGAAATAAGCCGTAATGGAAAAACTTGGCAGAGGGCCAGGGTGACAGGATTGACTTGTCATGAGTGCACACAGATCTTGGAGGAAGATTAGACTCAATGAGGCTTTAGGAAGGGGCTTTTTCACCATTTCTACCTGTAGACAAGGATGGAATGTACCATCCATGAGCCATGGTTCACAGATGTTAGTTATTGCACAGAGTAAGCCTAATTCAAGTTTAGAATCATGTATAACTCATCTCTGTACTTGCACTTAATAAATAAATAAAAATAATTGTAAATAAAAATGTTTTTTCTATGGGGCAAAAAAAACTGTTTCTTTAAAACTGCATTTCCAAAAAGGAATCAGTTAATAATTGTTCAATAGGTATAACAAAGATATAGCCTTTAATACTCTGGAAAAGACCAACAATCCCCACTAAACATAATCTCGCAATAAACAGTTGGGCCCAGATTGGCTCCTCATGTGACATTATATCACAATGGAGATATAATCTCTCTTACCACAAACTGGATGGTGGAGCTTTAGTGACAACTGCAACTGGACAAAAGATTGCTTGATGTGTAATCAAACCAAATTTAACATTCTTTCCGACCATCACATATTTTCAGCTCTATACTCTGCATGATTTTACTTTAAATAGTAATAGCTCCATTTTATATGTCTTCTAATATAAATATCTGCCAACATTATCTCAAGCTCTGTAAAGAATTCAAAGTTCCTCGACAAACAGTCAAGTAATCCGAAAAATATAGGAATATATTTCCACAGCTCGTGGGTAATACCTATAATAAGCGCCTTCCTTCACTGACTTCTGACCTCGCAGAGCAATAATAGCCCCTTGACCTCTGGCGTGTGACCCTTCTTTGCAAACAAGCACAAAACAAAATTGCATCATAGTCGTCATGCAATCCGTACAAACCTCTGCAAAGAAAAATAACATCTAGTTCTTTGGTTCTCAATGACAGGCGTGTTACCTGGTGCCTCAGGATAGTCCGGTAGACTATCCTATGGTAGTAGTCGAGCCTCACACCGGAATTGCTTCTGCTCCTCATTTTAAAGCGTTTCTTCGGGCCAGAGTCAGACACGGCGCATCACCTTCTCCCTTTTCCTCGACCCTCACTCCTCGTCAGCTGGTATGAGGTCGGCCAGACACAGAAAAATAATATAACTGGAATAAAAAGAGCATCGCCTTTGACTCGAGCAAATTTCCAATTCTTCTTCTATAGTATCAGATAGCGTTGTTGCCTATTCCGATCCTTGTTTACATTCTGCCTTTGGATCGTCTATGATGGTTAGTCCTACTCCAAGGGCAAATGGGATATTATTATTAAATTTGTTTAATTAAAGTATTGACATCTTTTTATGTTTAGATATATATCTTCATAATATAAATCTTCTTTAGGGGTTGCAATCGTACGTGGCACGGATGTACATCTTATTTATAGCCGCATTTCAAGCTCTGGCGCCACGGGAGGCAGACGATGCTCTTATCAGCTGTGAGCACCAGTGTTGCCACACAACGCCGGGATTCGACTTCCCCGTGAAACAACTTCGCTTTTATGATTCATTAGGATATAATTACATGTACTAATTTGATTAGGACTTGATTGTACATTTTGACATACATAAGTTGAATATACATGCTTTCACTTCTATACCTCTTTTAAAGAAATACAAATAAAAAATGACTTAGAATGTCAAATGAATTAAAGAAAAATAGAACATTTGGAGGGATGGCATCAGGGAAATGACTGAAGCAGTTGACTCCGACTTGTTATTAATTTCCATATCCAGGCTTATTCACACAGTATGTCCCTGAGTCTTCTGCTTTCTTTTATGCATTGTGATATAAGATTCAGTCTAGTTATATCAGGTGCTAGCTATAGTTCCAGAGTTTGATATTTGTTCTATCTTTGGTCGGTTTTGGATGAATGTTTGAAATCTTACTTGATATAACCCATGATTACTATTATATTTACCTAAAAGTTCTATGTAAGTTTACACCCTCATAATATTTATACATCTCTGAAAAATACAATTGTAAGGGTTTTTTATCACTTCTTTTTTCTCCTTTCTTTCTCCTTCTGTAGAAAAAATGAATCTTATATTTCCTTGGCGTCAGTGAGATAGATAAAGGTTGACAAATAGATAGATAGAGAGAGAGAGAGAGAAGAGGAGAGGGGAGGAGATAAAGAGAGAGAGAGAGAGAGAGAGAGAGAGAGAGAGAGAGAGAGAGAGAGAGAGAGAGAGAGAGAGAGAGAGAGAGAGAGAGAGAGAGAGAGAAGAGAAGAGGAGAGGAGATAGATAGATAGAGAAAGAGAGAGAGAAGAGGAGAGGAGATAGATAGATAGAGAAAGAGAGAGAGAAGAGGAGAGGAGATAGAGATAGATAGAGCGAGAGAGAGAGGGAGGGAAACACACACCCACACACGCAAACACACACACACACACACACACACACACACACACACACACACACACACACACACACACACACACACACACACACACACACACACACACACACACACACACACACGCACGCACGCACACACGCACACACACACAAACACACGCGCCCGCGCGCGCGCGCCCCAAGGGCCTCCCGCCGGCCTGGCATCAGTGTCGAGGCGTAAACAAACCCCTTGCCGTCGTCGTGACAGGAGGAAGCAATGAACTTCCCGGATCCAATTTTTCTCTTTCTACTCGTGTGTCTGACGCACTTGGGCCGACTTTGCCTCAGCGAGAGGAAGGGGCAAGGCAGCGACACAACAGTGAACCAGCTGAAGTTGTGTATCCTTTTGAATGAATAGGTTTCAGGCGGAGGTAATGTAGGGCTTCCACGCTTT